CGTTACCGCCCTCCTTGTTTTTGTGGCCGCGACGCCTTGGATTCCTGAAGCAAATCGGCTGCCGATGCAACCGACGCTTTTGTTTCGACCGCCTGAAGTCCAGAAGAGGCCCGCCGGCGAATCCGAGCAGCCGTAGCTGATGAGAAAACATATCGTTGCCATTCCCCCCGCCCCCGTCGCCGCCAGACCTTGGATTCCTTGGGCAAATGCCACAGGCACGAAAAAGACCAATCAGAAACATTTAGTAGCAGCTGTACGTGCTGCGGGATCCTGGGTTCCGACAGACGTGCCATTTTGGCTCAAGGCGTCCGCCGCTCCTGCGGGCAACAGGCGCGCTGACGTTGACACCCTCCCCTGCAAGGCTTCCAAGCGATGGCCGCCCGCGGCGTTGTCGCCGAGGCAGCCAACGTGCCCGCCCAAGGCATGAAGTCGCTCGGCGTCCACATGTGCGTCGAGGGCATGACCAGCGACGTGCTCGTTGCTGCGTGGGATATGGCGAAGGGCTTGAAAAAGGCCACCCCCCTTGGCAAGCCGAAGATCGACGGCAGTCTCGACCGCAAGGGCTCGGTGGACGTTTACGACCTGCCCGTCAAGCCATGGAGCGCTCGCGGCAACTCCTCCATAAAGTCCGTTGTCGACATCGTCACTGACGTCGACGCCGCCGAGATGGCCGCTGTGGACTGGGCCAAGGTCAAAGACATTATGGCAGAAGGCAAGTACAAGGAATTGCCGCCGCCGTTCTGCTTCAGCGACCCGGAGGCAGAGCCCCCTTGCACGATGAATCTTGCCGTCACACAGAGAGTCGCAGACGAACTCCCAATCGTCGTGAAGTGGATTCAGTTCATTGGCGGCGAGAAGAGCCACTTCGTGAGGGACAGCATTATCCGCGGCAACATGCACGTTTTGGACTGGCGCAAGGACGTGTTCAACTCTGCCCGCACGATGCAGATCCTGTTCGAACGCCTCGGTGGTGTCCAAGCGCGATACTGGGAGTTCGTGAGCGCACCCGCGCCCAGAGCTGGCGGCGGCGACGTTGACGTCGATCAGAAGAAGAAGGAGCTCTCGGCGGGCATCCAGCACATTAAGGACGAAGCCCCACGCACAAATGCTGACTGCGAACAGCTGGAGTGGGTAGAGTGCGAGCTGGTGGACCCTTCGTCGCCAATTCACAACCTCAGGCGGGAGCTCATCAACGCGGTCCTCAAGGTGCTGCGGGACCGCGACCACTTCGCCAACAAGCTGGTATACTACCCCATCCTGCTCCCAGATGTCCGCGATGAGTACCAGGGCGCCATGCGGCGCGCCATGGAGATGCTGGACACCAACACCGTCCTGTGCGTGGGCGAGGCGGGCTTCGGCAAAACGCCGTTCATGATGTCGATGGCCATGGCCAGCGCCAGGCACAACGCCGACGCTGAGAACAGGGCGACTGGCCGCGCCGACGCGGTGGCCGCCGTGCGGACAGCGCCCGACATGGATTTTTTCCGCGGTGAAGTCGGGCAGCGCTGGGTCCCTTGCATCTTCGACGACGGTGACCTGGCGGAGCAGAGGCCCAAGGTGTTGAAAGCATTCTTCGACACCACTCAGGCGGAGGCCATGACGTACGTCAGGTGGGGGGCGGCGAAATTCGTCCGCGGGCAGGCCCGCTTCGGCGGGGAGAACGAGTACGACGCCAGTGCAGCGCCGACAGCTACGCAGTGGGCGCTGGCATCCACAGGCGCCGACGCCGCCCAGAAGACGACCGCCATCCTGACCGACATGCTCAAGCCAACGTTCCCGAATAACTTCTCGCCGAGCAATGTCGGCGCTATGCTGAAGCGCTGCACCGTGTTCTTGAACACTCCGACTGACATGTTCTTCAGGCTCGCTGGCACCGAGAGCCGCGTGGAAAAGCTCCCGTTGATGGATGGGTACCTCAAGCCCGAGGCGGGCCAGATGTTGCGCTCCTTCTTGGCCCGCGGGGTCATGCGCGACGAGGAGGAGTTCGACAGGGTCATGGCATACGAGAAGAAGATGGTCATGGAGATCATGGCAAAGCGCGGCGTCGAGTACGGCGTCCCCGCGGAGGCTGCAGGCCCAGCGGGGGAGCCGGCCGCGGGCGCTGCCGCGCCGCCGCCGCCGAGCTCGGCTGGGCGGATCTTTCTGGGCGACCAGGAGGGTCATGCGATTGAACGTGCAAGCCGCCCCCCCCCATTGCGCCCCCGCGCTTGCGTCCAGAATCCCCATCTGCACCGCACCCCCGCCCCCGTCTGTTTCGCACCCCCCTGGCGCCATTCCCCCATGCTACTTTTTCGCTCCAAGGGATTCGGGGTGGTGGCGGCTTGCGCGTCCATCCGCCTGGCTCGAGGAAGAGGAGGACCCGTTCGGCTTGGGCGGCTCCATGATCGGCGAGCAGGCGGAGGCGCCCGCGGCCGCCCCTGTCGTGCCGACGGCGCCGATTAAGCGGGAGCCTTCCAATGTCTTCAGCCGCAACTTGCGCCAGAACGGGCCCGTCGAGATCGACCTCTGCAGCCCCTCCCCGTTGAAGAAGAAGGTGAAGTTCGAGTCGGGCACCGTCCCGCTGCAGAAGGTGAAGCTTGAGCCAGGCTCCAGCGACGCGGTGGGGCAGGACGAGTTCGGGCAGAAGCCGCCGAAGCCGCGCAAGCTCTCCCTTGTCTTGGGGGAGATCATGGCTCATGAGCTGAACGGCGCGGCGGGGCTCTCGCCAGACTCTGACGTCGCGACGGAGCAGGGCGCCGTGTCACTCACCCAGGCTCTGGAGGAGGTCGTGGATCAGGAGCTGAGCCGCACGGCGGGCCGCGGCGGCCCGTCGAGCAGCAGCGGCGGCGGCCGCGCGGTCTGAGGCCTAGCGGCGTTCGCTGGGCGCGTTGCCCGCCGCGGCAGGGCGGCGCGGGGGGCGGGGCGGGGTCTCGGGCGCGTAGATGGGACGTGGGCGGGAAGAGTTGCAGTGTAATTTCATCGCCAATGCGACGCATTGGGACGGGGCTGACAGCCATGCTATTACAGGGAGAGAAGACGCGCGCAGAAACCTATCATCTTGACATCCAGGCCAGCTGTCGCAAACCTTGGGATGAATGCGCGCAGCACGTGATGCCATCAGGGCGGTTGTCTTTCACTCTCCCTCTCGTGGCCAGATTGGCTCGACGTCTGCGATCGCGCGCCCTCGGCTCCACCCTGAGCACTCCGCATACTTGACGACCAATTGGTCGAGCGAGATGGCCGCCAACGGCGATGCCCGACGTGAGTGCCAGCGCCTCCAGGTTCAGGTTGAAGCGGGCGTCGACTCGCTCGCGTACCATCGCGAGTGGTGTTCGCTGAAGTATCAGGCCTTCCAGGAGTTGCTTCCCCTGTGGCAGGCGCGTTCTCTGCTGCATGACGATATCCGTGCGCGCGTCGCCTCTTTCCTGGTCCCCACTGAGCCGTCGTGGACGTGGATTCCACGGGCGGCGCTGGTCCGCGCGGACAACGACCCTGTGCTGCCGTACGTCTGCTGCTTAGCGAGCATGGCCCGCGGGTCTCGAACCGACCGATCGGCGGCCGCTGCTCTGGGCTCGGGGTGCATATACATACAGAGAGAGAGAGAGAGAGAGAGAGAGAGAGGAACAAAAAAAGCGCCAGAGAGAGAGAGAGAGAGAGAGAGATAGAGAGAGAGAGAGAGAGAGAGAGAGAGAGAGAGAGAGAGAGAGAGAGAGAGAGAGGCGGGGAAGGTAGCGAGGGATGGGGCGCGATCGATAGCGAGCCGACGCACCCCTAAGGAACTCCTCCACTGGATGCGCCCCGCCGCGTTGGCGGTCGGCTTCCCCGCCGACGCCGTGCCCGCCTCGCAGGAGGGCGCGCGGCTGCGGGTCAAGTGGCGCTTGATGGAGATGCAGATGTATTGCATCTACGACGAGCTGGAGGATCCGCCCTCGGAAGGCGCTGCCTGATCGGTTGCCGATCAATCAATTGTTCGATCGGGGTGGTCGGGGCATTGCCTGATCGCCCGCGCCCGCGGGGGGATGGAGGGGAGAGCACCTCTCGGGCGTATGAGTGGATATAGACAGTGGGGGATCCATCGGCCGCGGTCGATCGAGGCGCCCGTCTGGGCCTCGGTCGTTCCCGAGGACGTCAGGGCGAAGATGGCGACGCTCGACAAGACCATCGAAGGGCTGAGCCGCATGCGGCCGCGGGCGACGTGGGCGTGAGCCAGGCGCCATTGCCCGCCGCGGAGGCGGCGCGAGTTGGGCGGAGGGAGAGGGGGGGGGAGGGCGGGGGCATGGACGTGTAGATGGGGAGGGGGCGCGGAGATTGACATTTCAGTTTCATGGCCAATGCGACGCATTGGGGCGGGGCTGGCATCCAGCAATCACGGCATCCCACGCCGATCACGTGCGGCGTGCTGAAACGCCTCGCCCAATCGTCATCTCCGCCTTCTTCGCTTCCGCCGTCGCCATTGCCATCGTCGTCGTCGCCCTCTCGTCACCCGCTGCTGATGCCAGGGTCATCGCCGTTTGGGGCCAGGGAACTGTGCAGCCCGCCCTGTCACCCCTCGCTCATCGTTCCCGCGTCACCGCTTCGCTCCTCCTCCTCTTGTCCATCGCCGCCCTCCTCACATATCCTCTCCTGCGCTCGGCGAGACCTGTCTCTCTGAGGAGGCATTGACATGTTCGTGATATTAGCGTGTCAGTTAGCGCATCGAGCTGTTCACATGTTCTATAAGTTCTATAACATCCGAAAGCGAAGGCCAGCCGTCGCAACTCGCATGTTGAATCCAGCTGCACCCGTGCATCCTTGCCTCTGCTGCCCACCTTTAGCCAGCCATGGCCCAAAGCCGTTAGCATCCATCTTCTCCTACTGCAGAGCATCAGTTTCTCTGAGGATGCATTGCGCTGTTCGTGGCGGGGGCGCGCCGCAGCCCGCTCCGTCGTTGCCGTGGCCGTTCTGGCTCCTTGCAGGCCCCGCAAGGCTGGGATCTAGTCCGAACCCAATATACTAGTGGAGGCGCGGCGTAGGCGAGCCCCATGGCCAAGACCTGCATGAACCAGCGCAAGCCCAAGAGGGGAACCCTGCGCCTGACCAAGCGCGCCGCCCAGAAGAAGCCGGTTCAGAGGAAGCCCGCGGCTGCAGGCGTCAAGTACACGCCTGATGCACAGAACACCTCGGCGTCGGAGCCTCGGTACAATCGGCAGACGCTGGACGCCGTCCTGCTGGACATGGTGGATTTCACGCCGAAGCAGCTCATTCTGAAGTTGCGGAAGATGGGTTTCCTCCCCGACGTGCATCACTGCATGAAGTGCGGGTCGAAGACGTGGAAGACTGCGGACAAGGCGTGCGCCCCTGTCTTGGGCGGGGGCGAGCACGAGTGGCGGTGCACCAAGAAGGCGTGCCGATTCAAGCAGCACGTGCTCACGCAGTCGCCGCTCTTCAGCGCTGGGAGGGGCCCCAGCTCCACGCCCCTTCGCAAGCAGGCGCGCAGGGGAAACGTTCTCGCACCAAGCAACTTTTCCTTTTTCAAGCCAGAACGCAGGGCGCAGCCATGACTGCATTCTGGGTCGGGGAACCTTTCGGGCAGGGGAAAAGGGCCCAGGGATGGAGTTGCTCTTTGTTCGGTGTGTAGTCGTCGGTTCGAGCATGGTGTTCGGGTTTTTCCCAGATCAGCATGCTCGATGTCGGTTCTCCCCGCGTGTCTTGGCCCCCTCCCTTGAAAGGTGGTGGTCTTGCACGGAATTGCCTGGAACGTGAAGCCCCACGTGATCCGTGCCCAGACTGGTCTGACAGCGAACCGCATTGAGACGGTGCAAGCGAGCTGGCGGAACTTGCTGAAGGACTTCGTCATCCACGTCCAGCGGAAGCTCAAGGCTGGCGGCAACGGCGTGATCGTCGAGGCGGACGAGGCTGTGCTGAGGAAGGAATCGATCGACGACTCCTCGGTGAAGTGGGCTGGCGTGGTCGGCGTGAAGGCGCGGGGGCAACGCCAGAGCCTAGCCCTCGTCCAGACGACTGCGACCTCGAAGCGGCGCGCCGCCAAGGGGCGCGCGGCGCCCATGAAGCGCCCAGCCGCCGCTGCCAAGAAGCCCGCCGCGGTCATCAGGCGGCCGTCTGCTGCCACGAGAAAGCCAGCTGGCCGTTTGGGGTGGGCTTGTCCCCCGCCTTTGGACAACGAGACGTGGGGCGAGGTGGCGAGCAACCACTTTGCCAAGGAGTCCATCTTGTCCACGGACGGCGCTCTGGCGTACAAGGCCGTGGACGTCGGCGAGAAGGCCAAGATCGCGGTTAATCACTCCTCCAAGAACGGCGGGCCTTACTTCACAAAGGAGACGGAGGTCGACGGCAAGGGCGTCGTCGCTGGCACGCAGTCGTTGGACAGCATATGGGGCCACTTGAAGAAGAAGCTCGTGGGCATCAACGCCAACAAGCCGCAGGCGATTGCGCGGGCGCTGCGCGAGGGGCAGTGGTGCCATTGGATCGGCGTGGAGGACAGGTTCAAGGCCATGGGGGACGTGATCAAGTTTTGCCGCGACAACAAGATCTTCAAGGCGTGAAGGTCTACATGAGTACACTTGATGGTGTACAGGGGGCCGTGCGCGCGGGGGCGCGTGCAGCATGGGGTTCCGATTGCATTGTTAAAAATTGTGTAAATTTCGGTGTAGGAAAACATTGGTTTCGATACGGTATTTCCCATATAGAATGGTCGTCGGGGGTCCCCCTGAGGGGGGGGTGGGCTACTACTACTACTACTACTACTACTACTACTACTACTACTACTACTACTACTACTACTCGCACTAATACTTCTACGACGACGGCTACCGCTACTGCTACTGCTACTGCTACTGGTACTGCTCCTGTCAGTGCTATCCCTCGTACTGCTTTTCGACGTACTACCCCCACTACTCGCATCAACAACTACTGAGTGGTTTAGAGAGCCCGCTCTGTTCTCAACCCCCCCTCTTCCCCTTCGGGGAGGGGTTTACCCCTCCCCCTACCCCCTCCCCTGGGCCTGGAGAGGGCGCCCCGCGGGTGGTCAGAGGGGTCTTTTTCGACTCCTGGGAGGGCTAAAAAACGACACCCCTCACGAGGATTCTGGCCCCGACGGGGGGAGGGAGAAAAAAACCCTCTCCTCTTCTTTGAAACCAGAATCATTGATTTTACTACGGTGTTGGCCCCATTTTGGCCTTCTGAAGGGGGCAGCGCTCATGAAAGCTCCCCTCTTCCTTCAAGGCGAAAGCATTGCTTTTACGAAGGTTTTGGGCTCAGGTTGCCCTTCTGAGGGGGCAGCGCTCATTGAAGCTCCCCTCTTCTTCGGTCCATTCCCTCCAAGATGGCCCCAAGAAGCGCCCAGGAAGCACCACGAGGCCCCAAGATGGCCCCAAGAGGACCCCAGGAGGCCCCCAAGAGGCCTCCAAGAGGCCCCCAAGATGCCCCCAAGAGGCCCCCAAGAGGCCCCAAGAGGCTCCCCCGAGGCACCCAAGACGCTCCTGGAAACCCCTGGGGCCGCCAAGAGGCCCCCAAGACGCCCCAAACGGCCTCCAAGAGGCTCCCAAGAGGCCCGAAGAGGCTCCCCCAAGGCACCCAAGACGCTCCTAGAAGCCCCTGGGGCCGCCAAGAGGCCCCCAAGACGCCCCAAAAGGGGACGAGGTGCCCGAACGCCTCACGCCACGAGGAGCCCGAACGACTCACACCAGGACGAGGGGCCCGAACGACTCACACCACGAAGAGCCCGAACGACTCACACCAGAAGGAGGGGCCCGAACGACTCGCACCACGAGGAGCCCGAACGACTCACACCACGACGAGGGCCCCGAACGACTCACACCACGAGGAGCCCGAACGAGTCACACCAGGAGGAGGGGCCCGAACGACTCACACCAGGACGAGGGGCCCGAACAACTCACACCACGAGAAGCCCGAACGACTCACACCAGGACGAAGAGCCCGAACGACTCACACCACGAAGAGCCCGAACGACTCACACCAGGAAGAAGGGCCCGAACGACTCACACCAGGACGAGAAACCCCAAACGACTCAAACCACGAGGAGCGCTTTCTCTCCCTCCTCCTCCGCCTCGTCCTTCTCCCGCTCCCACCACAAGGAGGATGTACAAGGAGGCGGGAGGAAGGAGGAACAGGGGAAATATGCGGGGGCAGGCGGAAACACGCCTGAAAAACACGACTGTCGGCATGCTTCGCAAGAGTTGCTGTTTTGAGATGGGCTGGTGGGGATACGCGAAGCGTAAAGAATTCCTAAAGCTCCAGCTGCGATCCGTCCGCTGTTTCACAGGAGGGCTCTGGGGCAGTGGGAGGCGGAGCGACGATCGCGAGGCCGATCGGCATGTCGACTGTCATGAGCTCGTCTCCCTGGCGCTTGGTCAAGACCGCCTGCATGCGGGTTGACATCATCAGCTGCAACTTGGAATGGGTGGGCCTGGCGCCTTCCTTCCTCCTGTCGCACCAGCAATCCTTGAGGCGGCAATGCTTCGCCCGTTCCTGCAGCGCCGCTTTGGTGACCTTCCTCGTCGGGCTGCCCCAAGGAATGCGGTCCCAGTGCAACTTCAGCGTCAGTCCGATCTTCTCGCTGGCCTGGGGCAGCGTCGCCAGGCGCTGCAGCGGCGCGAGAAAGATGCGCGGCCCAGGGGGGCCGGAGGTGTATTTTTTCCTGCTCCCCTGCAGGCCTCTGAATGCGCCTTGCCAGCGTTCTTCATTATCGGAACGAGGGGGGGGGGGGGCGATAGGGGCGATCCAGCAGTTGTAGCAAGCGCTGGTCAGATCTGCGTGCTCTCTAGAATTCGCCAGCGACAACCTCGCCAGAATGGCAATGAGGGCCATGAGCACGCCGCCTCTCTTGCCCTTCAGCGCCTCGGTCTCCTTCGTGTGATCCTCGAGCTTCTTCGCCTTCTTGGAGTCGCCGGGGCCGCCCGCTGCGTCGCCAGCCTTGCGCACGGCGCCGTCCTGGGTCAATTCTGGGGCGCTCGCCATCGCGACGCCCGCGAAAGCCATCGCGAGGCTGCCGCGCCAGCGGGGGGCAGTTTGGCCGCGAGCTGATCAGCCTCAAGGGTTTGAGCCTCGCGCGACGAACATGCGGTGACATCGATTCGCTGGGCCCCTCGGAACGCAAGGCAGCGCCGAGTCGAACGCGCCCCTGCGCGGAAGGAGTCGCGCGCACGATGGTGCGCCGAGTTGCGCGACTCAAACTCAACCCCGCAGATGAAGCACTGGTCGGTAACGACTGTTTTGCCCGAGAGTGCCTTAAGCCAGTGGTTGTTGTCGAGGCGCGCGAGTAGGTGCCGCGTGGTTCTGAAGCTCCGATCGCAGCCAGGAGCGCGGCAAACGCGAGAACCCTCGCGATCTATCTTGAAGCCGATGGCGCGCGCAGCAGCCGAGCTTGCCCATGCGCCTGGCGGGGGTGCGCGAGCGCTCAGACATCGGGCGCGCGTGCATGTGGCGTCAAATATGAAAAACCAATCAATCAAGTCGGGGTCCTGGAAAGGCTTGAAGGGGGAGGGCCTGCCTTGTCGTCTTCGTCCGCGAGCGATTCGATATCTTCGACGAACTTACGAGGCCATGGACAAGCCGCCTCTGTTAAATTCTGATCGTGACCGACTAGATCGATGTGGCGCGCCTTCTCGCCCCTCATCGCGCCATATAATGCCCCCCCCCCCCCCCCCATTCTGCGATGCGCGCATCTGAGTATGCAGCCCAGCGCCGGCGCCAGCGAACGCAAGGTCCACGCGACTCAAACTCGAGAGGTCCAACGCAGAAGTATCGGAGGAAAGCTTCGCTGGCGATTGAGATCCCGTGGACTGCGCCAGCATAAGTGGCAGCGACCAGCATAGCCTTAATACCGCATTGGGTTACTCTGGACCGCCATTTGTCAACCTGAACAGGGGAACAGACGAGCGCCTCAGAGCAGCCGGACATGGCCAGACCCCAGAACCTTGCGCAAGAACGCGGATCTCTTCTCCACGCGTGGGATTTCGGCTTGAATCCAGCACCGCCCCATGCTGGCATATGCAAGATCAATGGCCTCCAGTCCGCCCCGACCGTGCCCGCGAGGCATTTCGCCACGTCGTTGGAGGCGCCCGCGAGGGGAAGTTGTTCAGACCGAAAGCGGCGACGACGGGCCTCCGAGCCCGCTCCGAAGAAGGCCGAGACGGACTCGTCCTCACCAGGGTTCAGCCAGAACAAACTTCATAATTGGAGGGTGAAAGTGGGGGTCGGGCGCAGGGTCCCGGCAATGATGTTTTTTAATGTCATGAATGGGCGATGCATCCTCGATTGCTGTGTTCGGCGGGGGAACTAATTGAAGCTCCCCGCTTGCACCCGCGCGCGAGACTTGAGGGGAAAGGAAGCAAGGGGGCGGGGGGCTCGGGAAAGGCGACGAAGGCAACGTGCGCTAAGGGCGCAACAAGAACAGGCTGGAACACACGAAAGCGGTCGGGTGAGTGTCAAAATCTGCCCAGCCAATCTGGCATGCGGAACACTGCGCCTCAGTTTTGGGGATCTTGAAGGCCAGGGCAAAATGTGAATTCACATTGTGGGGAAAAGCAAAATGTGAATTCACATTTTGGGAAAAAGGAAAATGTGAATTCACATTATGGGGAAAAGGACAATGTGAATTCACATTTTGGAATGTTGTGTAGGATTCTTTATGAAGGGGCCAGAATGTGAATTCACATTTTGGGAAAAAGGAAAATGTGAATTCACATTTTGGGAAAAAGGAAAATGTGAATTCACATTTTTGGAAAATCGCGGGGCCCATTCCAAATCTGTCTTGGGGGTCGAGAAGTCATCGTTTGGGAACATACGCGATCATCAACCGCACAATCAAGACACACTTGCACTCCACTTCGCCGACCCACGCGCAATATGCAAGAACGCCCGCACGCATGAACGATAATGGATGGACGGCGCGTGTGCCCGCGCGGGCAACGCGCGGGCACGAATGACTGGCCACCAATGACCGCCAGCATTGGATGCCAATCGTACCCGATCACATACATGAGCGATACATTGAGCATACATGGGCCATTCAGCCCCCATTGAAGACCCCCTGTTGCAGACCCCCTCTTTCACCCTCCAACATAAGGCCGGTGATCCGGTGATCCGGTGATCCGGTGATCCGGATCCGATCCGGTGATCCGGTGATCCGGTGATCCGGTGATCCGGTGATGCGGTGATCCGGTGATCCGGTGATCCGGTGATCCGGTGATCCGGTGATCCGGTGATCTGGTGATCCGGTGATCCGGTGATCCGGTGATCCGGTGATCCGGTGATCCGGTGATCCGGTGATCCGGTGATCCGGTGATCTTGTGATCCGGTGATCCGGCGATCCGGCGATCCGGTGATCTGGTGATCCGGTGATCCGGTGATCCGGTGATCCGGTGATCCGGTGACCGGTGATCCGGCGATCCGGTGAGCCGGTGATCCGGTGATCCGGTGATCCGGTGATCCCGTGATCCCGTGATCCGGTGATCCGGTGATCCGGTGATCCGGTGATCCGGTGATCCGGTGATCCGGTGATCCCGTGATCCCGTGATCCCGT